CCACCATTCCTTCTTCCAGATAATTATACACGTAGGGGATTTTTTCTCGCGAAGATATCAATATTCATGAACCGAAAAAGTACCATAGTAGTCTTGCTTGGCTAGGATATACTTGTAACGTCGAAGCGATGCTTGCGTTCAGCGGAAGAAGCAGCTTAATTAATGCTTCCGATTGGTACATTCTCCTAGATTCATGGAAGATATAAAAGAATATTTCTATCATTTCGTTTTCTTTTACTTTCAGTAGGTAGATCATGCACTTATTTCATTCTAAAGGCGAAGAATGCGATTCAGCTCGGCTAAAACAAACAAACCTAACCACAAAGCGCTTAGTAATCTACTTTTTCTACTAAACGCAGACAATTTCAAGACTGTATGGGAAATTCAGAAATCAAACATGTACGACTACAACTGCACATTGTTGCCCGAATGTTCTGTGTCAGAAACATAATGAATAACTCGCCTTTCTACTGTTCTCATAGACGCGCATATATAGTAGTATTGTACATTACATAATAATTACTACTACCTACTACCTGAGAGAAAATTTTCTCCCATACTGGCATTAGAAATAACGCGCAATCCAAGCTGCGGAGCATCGAAAATGCACATATCACTATAGGACATTTTTATCTTTCTGATATTTCCTTGTACGTATACGGTAAATTTATATATATAATCAGGTTGAAAAATATTACACCTGATCCAAACTATTCGTTTATTATTAATAAAAGTCAAATAATAAATGTAAAATTTGACTTTAATATGAGTATGTTCCAATCGCACGAAATAGAGTTTGATAAATTATGCCGTTATAGTATGCTGTATTATTCAAAAGAAAAATGTTCCGTGTGTACCTGCGGATACGAGTTATCCGTCGAGAAAGGCACTACCGGAAAGCGTATTATTTCTGCTGATGCGTGGAAAACCCACCTACACGCGAAACACGTCCAGATTAGCTGTTCGCGAGATTCCCTCCCCTGGAAAGCTTTGCGAGGAACAAAAGTCGCCGCGGTTGGGTGCGCTGACATCACGCTGGAGATAGATTCTTTAGCGTGGGGTAAAGGGGACATCGGGAAGTAATCGTTGGAGGCGCGGTGTCAGAAAGGCGCCAGGGATCAGCCGCGACGTAATGCACGCGGTATCTCTCTCTCTCTCTCTCTCTCTCTC